ACAAAAAACAAAACTGAATTTTGATAACTTTTGAAGATTGATTTTTAACATCCAAATGGTGTCATTTATTCATTACTTTTTAAACATATGTACTTATCTACATCTGCTTAGTTATTTGTTGACTTGGAACCATACTTATTTTGCTTAAAGATACCCATCAATAAGTCAGTGGATGAGTCCAATTTTAAATTATGATGGATAATAAATGTCCTATGGACACACTGCAGTAGAATTTCTATTCTGTATAATATGATGTGGTTGTAAATAGACACTGGCCTGTGAATGGCTAGATGTGTCTTTTAGAACTTTTCATGTTTTTCCCTCCTTTACTATACCTGGCATTTATTTGTGCTGGTCTTTTAATTGCTCCCATAGCATCCTACAATTTCCTTGTTTGTTGAATAGGAATTTATGAGGTAAAAAAGTCTGTTTTATTTATTTATGTATAATGAATTACCCACTAGCCCAGTATATAGAATACGAAGTGGCTAATTTTTAAAAATGACTCAGTGAACTTGGAGAAAGTTTATTTATCTATTTATATTCTATTACATTTCTACTTAAGACTTACATCTTCATTTAAATAAGTTGTCTATAATTTATAAGGCATCTGTCCACATCTGCAGAACAGGTCTTGGGAGAAGAATATACATTATTTTTCTTCAGTGAACCTGACTAGTCTATTTATATTATAAACATGCTAACTTTTTTTAAACATGCTAACTTTTATGTCAGTCACTGTCAATTTTTCATACTCTGTTTGCACTCACAATTCCTTAGAAAGAGGGACATATTTTCCTTTGTCTCTCAAAACAAAAAATTTAAGTCAAAAAACACAAAGAAGTTGCCAGTTTTATTCACTTCTCTGGCTTTAATTTATTATTATTTTTTTAAATTTAGGATAAGGTCTACAAGGTCTCACTGCATATATCAGACTTGTAGTGATCCTCCTGTTTTCAGCCTCCCAAGTGCTGGGATTACAGGAGTGCACCACCATGTCCAGTCTCAATTGCCATCTCAGCACATCCCGGGGGCAGGGCTGGCATGGCACATCAGGGATTGAAACCCATCCGCTGTGCTCCACCAAAGCAGGTGCTTTAGTCCACTAAGCTATCTGGCTGGCTCTTCTGTGGCTCTAATTTTTTTTAAATTTTATTTATTTATTTGTGTGTGTGTGTGTGGCCAGCTCAGTCCACCAGGGTGCGGGGCTGGCTGGCATGTGGTGCTGGGGGATTGAACCGTGGTCCCTGTGCTTTGCTAAGCTTGTTCTAAGTAGGTGCTTTAGACCACTGAGCCATCTCACCAGCCCCTGTGGCTCTAATTTTAAAATGTACTCTTTCAATGTTGACATCAAATGTTTCAATAGAATACATAAACACAGAATAAAATTTATTTATTTATATTCTATTACATTTCTACTTAAGACTTCCATCTTCATTTAAATAAGTTGTCTATAATTTTTAAGACATCTGTCCATATCTGCCAAACAGGTCTTGGGAGAAGAATATACATCATTTTTCTTCAGTGAACCTGACTAGTCTATTTATATTATAGACATGCTAACTTTTTTTAAACATGCTAACTTTTATGTCAGTTTTTGTCTTCAATGACTTGGGCGAGATCTAACATCAGATTGACTGTCTCTACAGCCACCATCAGGCCACTGAGCTTAGCAGTCAAACAGTCCACAGTCAGGCTGTGGGCTGACTGTTGACTGATTCCCAGAGCTTCAGGTAGAAGGAGGATCTCAGGTGCAAAAGGGCGATGTGTGCTTCTTAGGACAGACCAGCTGAGTCCTTCTTGGCTACTGAACACTCCACAGCCACACCAAGAAAACAGATCTGGCCAGTTAGCAACAGAGGGAGGACCCACCTACATTGACCAAAAGTGTCCATGTTTCATGTCAGTCAGAATTTCACCTCCATTGTGTTCCAATGAGCCTTCAAGAGATTCTAGAGCTCTGCAAAAAGCTTCAGCAATTAGCTGAAGTACACAGAATAAAATTTAATACAAAAGTTTAATATGTCCTCTCCTTCACCTCACATCAGATTCTCTTTCCCCAAAGCAGTCATGGTTACTGGCTCCTTCTTCTAAAAGCACATTAACTCTTCGTGAATATACATATTTACATAAACATAATTTTTATTAATGAAATAACACAAAGTACAGCTCCCTTCTGCACTGCTTATCCTTAACAATTAAAGGATACACAGATCTTCATTGTAAACATAGTTTTTTGTATGATGGATATAAAATAATGTATTGAATTAGTTATGCATGAAAATTTAGAAGTTTCTATTTGTTTGCTTCTAGAAAGATTAGTCAATATTATAGTACACAAGTCATTTTTATTATGTGTATACACCAGTAAGATAAATATTTAAGAATGAAATTGTTCCCGCCCCTGGGGAGTGCTGAGACAGCAATTGAGACTGGGCATGGTGGCATGAGCCTGTAACCCCAGCTCTTGGAAGGCTGTGAACAAGTGAATCACTGAGTCCAATGTAGTAGTGAGACCCTGAACACCCTGTAGACCCTTCCCTAAAATACAGAAAAAATAAATAAATAAATATTTTTAAACAAGAATGAAATTGCTGAGTCAAAGGAAATAAATTTACATTTTGATTGTTGCTGGTGTAATATCCTTTGTAAAAGCTATACCAAGTTATAGTCTACTAGTAAAGGCACTCAACATCATTTTATGGGACAAAAAGAAGTATATTTATTTTAGTTTCATTTCTCTTTATTTTCTACTGAATAAAATGGAATGTCTTTTTAGATGTCTAAAAGCTTTTTCAAATTCTTTTTAGTTTTATTTATCTATTTATTGGATACAGAGTTTCACTGTGCAGTTCACACTCATAGTGATCCTTCTGTCTCAGCCTTCCCAGGCTGGGATTGCAGGCCTGCGCTACCACACCCAGTTTCTCAATAGCTTTTTTTTTCTTTTTAATTTTATTTATTTATGTGTGTGTGTGTGTGTGGCCAGCTCAGCCCACCAGGGGGCGGGGCTGGCTGGCATGTGGTGCTGGGGGATTGAACCGTGGTCCCTGTGCTTTGCTAAGCCTATTCTAAGTAGGTGCTTTAGACCACTGAGCCATCTCACCAGCCCCTCTCAATAGCTTTTAATACTGTTTTTTTTTTTCATATATTTGGCACTTTCTCAATTGTAGCTGATATTTTCTTGCTTATTTGAAGATATTTATATATTTCAGTTATTAATATTTAGTCTTTTAGTTGATATTCCTATAACAATTATCCTGGAGGACAGAAATATAAACCCAAACGACGGAGTAAGGTAACTTCTTATTGTTGAAAATAGAAAACTTTGGGATTTTGTCTTAAGTCTTATATAACTTCCAAGGACAAATAAGATAAAATTATAAAAGACTATCATCCTACTGAACAAAGGATATATTTTCTACTTTTTGGCTTCTTATAGTATTTACTTTAGGAAATCTGTGAATGAATTATTTTTCATTCTTTGAAAGATGTGTACAAAGACTTTCAAATGCTCAGAAAGCTTCTGGTTGGCTTTATGACCCAGGTATGTATTTTTCAAAGACTGAGAAATGTATCTTTGAATTGTAATTATGGATGATAGGGTTCCTGTAGAGAGCCTTTCCTGGTCCTCTTCTCAGTGCAAAGAGTTTGTATTTGTAATCCCATCAACAAATTCTTAGAATCCTGTCAAGTTAATGACAATCTGCCACACCAGACACTAAGGCAGAATTATGGAGAGTCAATTGCTCCTAAGTCCAGACAGGACAGTGGCTATCCAGAACAAAGGCCTTGACCCAAGGCCAAACCTGAGTTTTATTCATTCTTGAAAGACGAGTGAATTGAGTTTGAGTGACTGTGACAATGGTGGGAAGTAGATGGGTGCCATGAACTGGGCTAGGCGGGAGGTCTTTATTCACCTCTGCATTATGCTCTGATGTGCAATCTTTCAAGCCCCAGGAAGTCATAGCCTCTGTCTTGACCCTTGATCCCATTATAGAGCATAGAGCATTGGCTCTTCATCCCATCTTGACCCAACTTACACTAGGGAGCAGCAAGTGTGGTTTCCCAGGGAAACATGCCTGCTGTGTTCAAAGACTACCACCAGCACCTCAGCTGACTGATAAGCATTGCTTAAAGCTAATTGAAGGAATAAGGAAAAGTCCTAGCAGGCTCTGTTCATGTCAATACAAAGAAACAGGGTCAACTTCAGCCAAATGGAGACAATTACTCCTTTTTCAAGGAGGGTTGCCCATGTGGTCCTCCACAGGTTGCCATTCCTATTATCTATTGAAAGGTAGGAACCTAACTTTGGTGGACTAAATTCCAAATTATATTCCAAAACTGTTCCTGTCCTAGAAGTATAAGCTTGTTTTTCTTTTGTATAAAGGCAATTAGGAAGCATAGATGGGCCGTCCAATTAATGAGTACATACAGTTTGATTCACCTGTAACAAGTCATGCTATCAAAAGAACTAGCTATTGAGGGTTAGCTATTGTCTATCTTTAGAGTATGTATATAATCAATTGTACTCACTTTGCTATAAAAAGAGTAATATTTCTGGTTTTGCAATCATTTTGTGTACTGTCTATCATGAACATTGAACTCCAGTCTAATGCTGATTTAATAACAAAACAGCTTCCTTTTCCTTTTACCTTTGTGAAGAAGTTTTCTTTTTCACAGAATACCTCGATTTAATTGTATTTCCTCTGTAAATTTAAGTTTTTTGTTTTTTGTTTTTCTCTGGTAATGGGGATTGAACTCAGGACCTTGTGCTTTCGAGGCAGATGCTTATGCTGTGGTGCTATAACCCCAGCCTCCAAGTGTTTCAATTAATAGTTCTATCATATGTAAAATTAGTAAAATCAAATGCTTCTTTTAAATCCTTTATAGCTCTACAAATTCTGGGAAGTAATAAAAAATGGCCAATTTTAGCTAGTTTTCTCTTATTAAGAAGCTAAAAATAGGGTTTTTTTCTTAAAAAATTTTAAGGTATGACTTTATTTTCTCAGTAATTTCTTCATTGCACATTTCATATCTTTGTTTCTCAGACTATATATAATAGGATTAATGAGTGGAGTAATCACAGAATAAAACAAAGTCACAATCTTCTGCATTCTAGCTTCATGCTCAGAGGTCGGGCTCACATACATGACCATCACTGAACCATAGAAAAGAGAAACCACAGCCAGATGGGACCCACAAGTAGAGAAGGCCTTTTGTCGCCCTGCTGCTGAAGGAACTTTCAAAACAGCTCTGAGAACCAGAGCATAGGAGCCCATAATAAAGACAAAGGGGGTAAATAATATTAGGGAACTTAAGGTGGAGCTGGCTAACTCTACTACAGGATCACTGGTACAGCTAAGTGCTAGCAGAGGACCTGGGTCACACAGGAAATGATCAATTATCCTGGAGCCACAGAAGGACATCTGAGAAATGATGGTGATGGGGACTGGGAACCAGAGGAAACCAAGTACCCAGCAGCTGATTATAAGATTGGTGCAGAGACGTCGTGTCATAATGGAAGGGTAGTGCAGAGGCCTGCAGATGGCAAGGTAGCGATCAAATGCCATAACTGCCAGGAAGAAGCATTCCGTGGAACCCAAGGAAAAGAAGAAATAGAACTGGAGGAAGCAGCCAGAGAAGGAGATGACCTTGGAGTCAGAAAGGAAGTTGACCAACATGTTGGGGACTGTGGAGGTGACATACCAGATCTCCAGGAAAGAGAAATTGGCCAGAAGGATGTACATGGGTGTGTGTAGTCTCTGATCCCAGCACACGGCGCAGATGATGGAAGCATTGCCCATGAGGGTGAGGAGGTAGACAGCAGAGAAGAGCACAAAGAGGAGGATCTGCCCCTCTCTGGGGCTGGGAAAGCCCAGGAGGACAAAGCCAGTGATGGTGCTGGAGTTGCTGGGGGTGTAGAAAGTTCTCATTGGCTTGTGAGTTGAATATGGGAATGGAAAGTAAAAAGGATCAAGATGTGATAGGTATATATTCCAAATTCCCCATGAGAAACCTATTTATTATGGTTTGCAATCATATTAATAACTAAAGAGGAAACATGTACCAGAAATTAGTAAATGATAGGTTAAAGATAAATTTAAACTGAGGTATGTCCTTAAGCCAATTTGGTGGAATTCAATAAACATTAACACAATGGTCACTATTTTAGTGTAGTTGCAAAATACTGTTTTGTTAGACAGTAATTGTTGGTCTGGAAAGCCTTTAAGGTTGAATGTATCAGGGGATAGGTGCAGCAATATCCTTATTTAAAGTGCATAGAAAGATGCATCACATATCAATATGACATTTCATAAAGAAAGCACTACTGCAACTACTGGGATTAAAAAATAGTGGATCACTCATACCTTACATTCTCCTCTCATGTTGTATCCCAATTGTCCTCTCTGTGCCTCTGCCTTCCAGTTGTAAGTCTCTTTTTTATGATATTACTTTCCTTATTTTTCTTTATGATTTAATAAATAAATATGCACTTAAAATGTTTTTCTTCTTGTTTTCCTACTTTTGTACTTTGAATAAATGAAATTGTATGACTGAACTTTGGGTGATTTCTTTTTATAACAGTGCAAAGAACTTTATAAAATTTGTTTTATCCAATGTATCTGGAGCTGGTCCATTATTATTGATCTAGATCATTGTTTTGTACAAATAAATTGACACTTATTGAACCATTGGACTGAAGGTAAATATCTTGGTTTATTTCTGGTTTGGATTTATGAGTAGTACCATTAATAGGAAAATATGCTGAATGTCTTCTGGCTCATTGTTTTTATATTAATTTTATTGAGAAAGAAGTAGCAATGAAAGAGCTTCAAAACAGGTTAGTAGGACAGTTACAATAATTAATACATTGCATATTGTTGTCTTTGTAGTAGTTATTCATAGTGAAAGATGCAGACATGGTATCTTGTCTAAACACTATTTGTCCAAAGCTTTCTTCTCATTGAACTAAGAGAAAGTTGTATATCTATACTCTTCTGACTCATTGTGCCTTTAGTTGTGTAGAAAGTTTTCATTTCCAACCTCAGCAGGTTAAGCTGAAAAGTTTTCCTTCATTACTGCACTACTTTTTACTCTCACTGACAACGTATTAATGTTCTGATTGTCATTGATCTTTAATCTTAAAGATTTCACCATTCTCTGGAAAGTATATTGTAGAAGTGATTAAAACAAACTATCCCCAAACCTGATTTAGGAGAATATTTTAAATCAGCATCTAATTTGCAGCCATTCTGGGTAGTTCATTATCCATCAATGAGCCCTATAATCAGCCCAGTGACTGAAATTGTTTCTATGCTGAAACTTACTTTTGCTATATGCCTCCACCAAGAGAGAAATCTTTGAATTGGCCCACTCAGGAACATGTATTTCTATCAGTTTAATTGAAATTAATTTACTTTTTAAATTAAAAAAATTTTTGTTTTCAGTACTGGGAATCAAATTCTGGATCTTGTGCTTTGCAGGCATACACTTATGCCTTTGAGCTATCTTGCCAGCAAAATTAGTTTGCACTTGAAGATGACTAATATTTTGCAATGAAAACATCCAATAAATATAAAATGAATGAATAAGTGGAAGAGGAGGGAGAGAGAGACAGAGAGAGACAGAGAGAGAGAGAGAGAGAGAGAGAGAGAGAGAGA